TTTTATTGTTTTAATATTTTAACTACCAGAGCGTCTTTGATTTTATTTGTGTCTTTTCTGTGTTGATTACTGGTTATTTTAATTTTCTGAATGTCCATATGATTTTTTTAAAAGGCTTTCTAATTTTTTTTTTTCAATTATGAAGGATTGTTTTAATATTTTACAAATAACATGTGCTTTTTATTCTATCTATTAAAGACTTTTTGATTTAATTACCTTGATATATAATCAATGTTTACATATGTTATAATTGCCAGAGTCTTGTGACAATTTCCTGTAATTTTTATGCTAATCAAAAGTAAATTAAGTTGATTTGGACATGGACATCCTTTTTTAATCATTTATACAAAAAGAGTTTCTTTGAACTATGTGTACTCCCACAGAAAGACATCAATTATTAATATGCCCTGCAGAAAACTTATCCGAAAAAATAAGTCTGCTTGTTATATATACATATATTTCAATTTTATAAACTCATTCTTCTAAATTGGAAAGAATTTTGGAATTGATTTGTTGGAGGATGATCATAACACGGAGAAGTTACAAACAAGAAAATAAATATTAAGATACTTCATCAGTAGAAACATGAGTTAAAGGATTGTAATTTGATCTTCTTTAATTGTTATTTCTAATCTTTCTGACCTCTACGACTAAAAGTCGCCCATCTGTTAGGAATTTACTTAAAGGTAACATTTTATGAACCATGAACAATAAATCTGTTAAGCTTCGACACTTGATTATGTAAATTATAATTCAGAGAAGAAAATGGTTTGGGTTCACAGAGATGAAATTTAAAAGTTGTTAAGAGAAGTTTAAGGATATCATTGTCACATGTTCATGATTGCTGATAATTTAAGGGACAAATTTTATAAATAAATAGCTTTTGATACTTTGTGTGAACACTAAAACAACAAAAGATGTCCGCTTTCAGCAATTAAATTTGATACACTGGGAGAGTTATAATAACAAAAGGATGAAATGTTGTACACTGATTAAAATGGTAAATATTGTTGGCGGAGTTGTCAGACAATTAAAGACAAGCATTGATTTATTTGTTGGACATTTAATAAATTCCTTAATTTGAGTAAGAACAGGAAATTGGCTGTTACTTATACCATTTGTTGGACAGTTATTAGTTATTGGGCAACAATAAGGGGAGGAGATTTTTGTTATATCCCATATCACAAGAAGTTAAAGGTGGGGGTGTACAGGGGGCACATTGTAATTAAATTCGATTTATATCCACTTTAACCAGTTAACGTAAATGATCAAATTTACTATACAAATGCAATGGGCTAATGAAGATGGGCATTGGCCGAGAATGTCAGTGGTGCAGGACAGAGGGTCTGACAAGGACAGCTGTCTAGTTGTTTACATGAGACGAAAAATGAGGTACCGTTAACCGTTTATACATAGGCGTGGTCGTTAAAGATCCCTTTGCATTTGGAATTCGATATAAAAGTAGGCCATAGTGGCGCTGCCCGGGCAAAATTTCCGTCATAGCACTCTGTATGGATTATGCCCGTTTTCATTAGTCCAGTCTGAGCAGAACAGTAGGACGTTAAACCCCCATTTATCTAGAGTTTTCTCAATTCCATTTTTGATAGATTTCTTAATTGTTCTCATCCGATATAATGGTTACTTCCCATTGGTTCTTTCTGTCACATTTTTTACCCTTAAAATTTTATCAATGGCCTTTTTTTTGTTGTTGTTTGCTGGCCATATTGTTAGAAATAACTATAAATTAACGATTTTTTAAACAATCGACATCTAGATCTAAATATCTTCTCCGGAGGTAAAATAAATGAAAAATCACACGTCTGCTGGTACAAATTTGACAACCAAATAATGATTTGGCTTATTGTAAGAATTTTTTGAAATGGTTATATATTTTTTTAAAACATTAATCATGTTTTCGCTGTAACAAAAGTGTCATTTTGTAAGATTTTTCAGTTTTGATTTTCAAAATACATATAATTGATTTTATTTCTGAAAGAGAAACATACTGCTTATCAGATTTTCTGTAATGTCTCGTAGACGTTTTGCTGTCAGCCAAACCATGAAATATTATATTTAGTATAATGTATAAAACGAAAAAAAAAAAAAAAGGAAAATGGATTTTTGACTTGTTTAGTCTATATCGTTGATCTGCTCAATTTACGAAAAAATTCAAGAAGACGTGTAAATAAAGTTCCGTGTTAATTTTATCTCACTACGAGATTGCCAAGAAAAAAAAAAAAAAAAAACAAGAAAAAATCTGGAATTAACTTTTAAGTTCAAAATAATGATAATATCACAATTTTACATTTTTTCTTACGAAAGTGATTTTTCAAAACTGGTTATTGTTTTGAGTGTTTAACGTTAATTAATTATTTTTTAGAAAGCGAAATTGATGTTATCTTGATTTATATGGATAGTTATTATCAAGATTAACCAGTCATTTATTGTTTGGGCATTCACGCCAAAAAATGAAAGTAGACAAAATCGTGATTGATGAGACAAAAAACTGATTGTAAATGAGAAATATGTTTGGTTTGATGTTCATAGGAGTGAATTATTTCAATAATTACAAAAAATGTTAAGGAGTTGCTGCTTCGTACAAATGAAAGTGCTGATTTATGTGGACTGGATGTTCATGCAAGAATGAATGGTTGAACTTTTTATTGTTTGGAAAGTTTGCATAGTCCAAACGTCCAGGGAGCCATGTTGGCTCAGTGTGTAAGGTGTTGGGTCACTAACCTCGAGCTCCCGTGTTCGATTCCGGTGTTATCCAAGAAATTACATCTGGATTTTCTGGCATGGTTCCCCCTTGTCAGCAGTGTAGGACAAGAGAGCCTGCAAGGAATGATATATAGACGTTCTGACGGGACGAAAAACCGAGGTCTGGTGTACGCATTGGCGTGCACGTAAAAGAACCCTTGACAGTTGAAATTCGAAAGAAGAGTAGGCTGTAGCGCCACTCTCTGGGCAAAATTTTCCTTATAGCACACTACCTGGCGAATTCTCGTCTTCATTAGCCCATTTGAAGCAGAACGTTAGGACATTAAATCCCATTTCATTTCCAAACAGTCTAGTGGTATTTTGTATTAAGTATTCATCTGTCTGGATGATAAAGTAAAGATTTGTTGATGTAAATCTGTGTTTTGATAACCAAGTCTATATATCTGGTGTCGGTATATGTATGTGTGGTATAAAGAATAACATCACCTTACATTCTGTTAATACTATTAATTCTCTCATCATATTGCCGAACGCCACTTTTAAAAAACTTAACCTCAATCCGACTAATTGTGGCTACATTTTTTTCACATCATGTTGTTTTTTTATCGACTATAAAATGTTTCTGACACACGCAGCTCATGATCTAATGCAATAAGAAAAAAACTGATACCACCAAGATGTTTGAAATTTTTACATAATGATCTTAAAAATGTATAAGTAGGGGTAGGCTTTTAAAGTTCAAACTTTGCTTGACGTGAGAGAGAGTGAGAGAAATGAGTTTAACATTCATGTAGCACGATCAGGTCATTTTGGGACTCAAACATTTTATATGTCTGGAATGAAGCCGGAGAAAATAAAATTAGGTATGGGATCTGTACTCCCCTTCACTTAAAAATATTGGGTTGGAATCCTGACACTGGGACTCGCACATTTAAAATTTCTGGAAAGAACCTGGAGAAACTTAGATTGGGCATGGGATCTGTACTTCCCCTTCATTTAAAAATATTGGACTGGAATCCTCTAGCATCATGTGTCTACAGACGTGTTAGAGAATGTTGTTTAATTCAACAGTGGATTTCTTCATACGATTTATTTAACAAGCAACTAAACAGCTCAACATTTTGCGTAAAGACTTTCGGGTCAACCGTAACGGGGGTAATTGCTTCACATTTTGGCACTATAAAGTATAAACCCATTTTTATCAATGTAATTCTGGGACTGTACCTTTAAAACATATACAGCCCTAAATACCTTTCAATCGATTCATAAGACTGGCATTTCCAGATTTGAGAAAATTATTTCAAAATAGCTTCTGGAAATTTAAACAAAATTCTACAATAGTATGAAATTACATAAACATTATAAATTGTTTAGAGAAAAGGATGAAATTATTTTAAATTGATTTGCTAATTCTTGTAAATTTTTAAAAAAATGGGTTGGGGAAAGAGGAAAGACCACCCAATCTGATGTTTGGTATGGTAGAAAGGAGGTGATAGCTCCTGGCCTGTCAACTCATGTATATTACTAGCTGCACACAACACAGACCAAATTCCTTCTGATTTTTGGCATCCATCAGGAGATTTACACAAGTCAAAATGTGAATTTGTGTCAGAAATATAATCCAGCTAGAAGCTAACGAGACCTGACAGCTCTCACATTATTACAAATGGAGCATTTCACTAAAATGTAGATGAGCTAAAATTGGTTAATTTCATAAGTAATTGCTTTTCTTCCACCTTGATTGTTTTGGAGGTATCAATTTTCACAAAAAGCCTCCCAAACTTGAGTTGAAAAAAATGATTCTTGACTAGCTATGAGGTCTACTTGACAAATAACATCTGCCAAACAAAGAATTGGAAATAAAAATAATAAGATTTTTTACAAGGTTTTTGTTATTATAACAAATTTTCGTTTTTCCAACAATTCACCCAGGCTAAATGCTGCCTTAATTGCTCTCAAAGTTTTTGATTCTGTCTCATATTTGTAGTCATAATAATTGCTGGTTTACCCTTCACTTCAATTTGAATTTCATTCTTTCTAGCTGCTTTAATGTTTCTTGGAATCTGATTGTTATGGTTAGAAATTAGTTGGGTGTGGGGTAATTAACTTCATGTTGTCTCAGTTCAATTTTATTATCTTTTTTGAAAAACAAAAATACATCAAATTAAGAGTTGATAAATCTCAGTTCACAAGGATTTATGTTTTTATTTATTTTTTCCTGGAGAAAGGCCCGTCAAATCCCACATATATTTAAGTATGTTTTAATTTATATTTTTCAGGAGAAAGGCCCTTCAAATGCCACATTTGTGGAAACAGATTTTCCACCAAGGGCAACCTGAAAGTACACTTTGAACGTCACAAAGCAAAATATCCCAATGCTCGGATGAATCCAACTCCAGTTCCTGAACATTTGGACAGACTACAAGGATCAAGCATGGGCATGCCCATGAACCCATCCAGTGTACCAACGTCTATGCCCTTACCACCTGGATTCATGGGAAATCCAATGATGCCAAATATGGGATTGCCGCTGCCGATGAACCCAGGTTTTCCGATGTCAGCCAGAATGCCCAGTGGAAGTATGCCATCACTCCATCGGCCTATGGGACCAATGTTTTCCCCTATAAACCACTCTTCAGCTATGAATCTCCCACATCCCCCACCCCTTCCTTCCCTTCCTAGCCCAAACATCACCACAAATACTCATGCTGCAGAACGACCATCTAGTCCACAGATAAAACGTGAAAAATCTAGTCCACCATCAACTCCTCAACAGAATCGTGAAACTGCTCCAACACCAACTTCCACCAGTAGTACCATTTCATCCAGGGCATCATCAGTCTCAGAACCACTTCCTCTCCCACCATTAAGAAGTCCAATGGGTCCAAGACCCCATTTACCAGGTCCCCCTGGCTCCTTCCCACTACCATCACATCTGCATCCGATGGCCAGCATGGCAGCAAGTATAGCTAGCAGTATGGCCAGTATAGCTTCTAACATGAGTTCACCATTCTCAACCATCACAGCACCATCAGTTTCTGCAGAATCATCAATGTTAAAGAATACAATTCTTCCCACCAAGATGATTGATCCATCAGAAAACTTAGAAGAATACATGGAAGTTTCCAAATCTGAGACATCAAAGTTGGAACAGCTGGTGAAGAACATTGAACAGAAGATAACTGACCCTAACCAGTGCTTGATCTGTCACCGAGTCCTCAGTTGTAAGAGCGCTCTCCAGATGCACTACAGAATACACACAGGTAATTATTTTAACTATCATTTGAATATTATTTAGATTTTGTACAATAATTTCCAACTTGATAAAGAAGAATCGTGTATGAGAATTGTATTTTAAATTTCGAAAAAGGTGTTCAGTTTGATCCAAGTCTGATGTTTATCAGTATTCGGACTAAAATGTATTCTTATATTATCATTTTAGGTGAAAGACCATTCAAGTGTAAAATCTGCAGTAGATCATTCACCACTAAAGGAAATCTCAAAACTCACATGGGTGTTCATCGAGCCAAGCCACCATTGAGGATGATGCACCAGTGCCCTGTCTGCCACAAGCAGTTCACCAACCTTTTGGTCCTTCAGCAACATATCAGAATGCACACTGGAGAACATGGCATGCCTAACATGCTTCCTGAACATATGTACATGCATCCTGAATGGGCCGCCATGCAGCAGTTTGATCATAAGATGATGAGACCTTATGACTTATCTCAAGGCGAACCTAAAGAATTGGATCTTAGCAATAAATCCCATAGAGCGGACCAGGACATGGAGGATTATAATGGCTACAGTAGTGATGACCAGAAACTCGGCATTGATATGGATGATGACGATGATGAAGAAGAGGAGATTGATGAAGAAGATCGTGCTGCTATTGCTCATGAGAACGATGATATTGAAAGACCAGATCTTCTTAAAATTAAAACTGATGATGATGATAATGATTTACCCAAAGATTATTCTAGTCCTAATAACGACCAGTCTCCACCCAGTTCCAGACCGAATTCTGCTGGTCCACCTCAGTCATATTACACTAGTCCTGTTTTATCATCTTCTACTTCTCTTGCGGCTCTGGAAGAACGAGTTAAAGCGTTTGATAGTCAAATTGCCCAGTCATCATTTGAAAGATTCCGGTATAATATGGGCCTTGGTCATGGAATGCCTGCCGATAAATCTTTGTCACCAAATTCCCAGCTTGATCTCGTAAATGGCGATAGATCACCAGGAGCTTCTCCCAAATCCCATTCTGCTTCTGAAAATGGCTCCGAATACAGCCGTGAAGAGATGCGCCCTAATCCAATGATGTTTCCTCCAGGAGCTGGTATCCCAGGTTTTCCAATGATGGGTGGAATGGACATGAGACCAAGAGGACCCGATGGATTACCTCACACAACTTGCAACGTTTGTTTCAAGACATTCGCCTGCAGAAGTGCGCTAGATATACATTATAGAAGCCATACTCGAGAAAGACCTTATCAGTGTGATGTCTGTGAGAGGACTTTCACCACTAGAGGCAACATGAGACAACACATGCTCACCCACAAAATTCGAGATTTGCCTTCTAGCTCCTTTAATGATAACTCAAACAGCAAACCCTCAGAATCATCAATGCCAGAAAATAGAACTGAAACTCCTATCAGAGAAAGCAGTCATCAGTCGCAATCTCAAGCTCATTCCGAGAAAGAACCGATGAAGCAATCTCCAGAATCCGAAAATAAACCCAGCAACACTAATATTAATAATAATAATAATCCGAATCTCGCCAATAACAACAGCAATAATAGTGACGAATCTCCATTCGCCCGCCGCAACAACGGAACCAAGCAACATCTGTGTCCCACTTGTCATAAAACTTTCTCCAGTGGTAGTGCTTTGATGATCCACAACAGAACGCATACCGGAGACAAGCCATTTAAATGCAATGTTTGTGGTAAAGCTTTTACCACTAGAGGTAACCTCAAAGTTCATATGGGTACCCACATGTGGAACAACAGTCCTTCCCGAAGAGGTAGAAGAATGTCTATTGAACCACCTTTCATGATGTCTCACATGAAGGACAATCCTTACCTTCAAGGTTTCCCACAAAGACCTCCAGATTTCTACTTCCAATATCCACCATTCTTTAATGGACTATCTCCAAAGATGAACGATCTTTCTGTTTTACAAAGCATCCAGGCTGGTATGGGTGTCCCAATGCATCCAGGAATGGCTGGGTTAATGCCCAAGATGGACCATCGTATGGAGGAAAAAAAAGAGGAACGTGTTATGAACGGAAGTTCAGTGGGTGATTTAAAATCCCCAGAAATCAAGCACCTGACCACAAGTTCTGGGGAGTTGGACTTGAGCATGAGATCGAATTCTTCGGGTAATTCTGCTTCGGCTTCATCATCACCTCAAACTAAAGACTCTCCATCAGAAGGTTCGAGTTCCCCAGGTTCTGCTGCTGGTGGATGGTTATGGAAAGCTGGTAGCTGCCATATCTGCTCCCAAAGTTTCTCGTCATCTGCTGCTTTAGAACAACATCTGCAATCTCACCATCTACAAACCTCCGCTAGTGAAACTCAGAAGGCGATTGTTGCATGAGCATCGAAGGCAACTCTGACCATTAACGAGTTCTGTTACGATCAGTGTGCAACGAGACTGAGACCACGAAGATGTGAAGAATAGCTCGTGTAGTGTATATATAGAACCAATCTGATGTGTCAAATACAATATATTATAATCAAAAGGCCCATGGGCCAATGAATTGTGTATAGTTTACCAGTTTGAAATTTTACGAATTATTATGAAAATAGATGATGACCGTGTTTTGTTTGATGGAATCTCAACTCTGTTATTTAGTGCTTGACTGTGTTCTTGTAAACGACTTTAGTTTTAACGAAAATATAACACAGATTTTGAAATCCCAGGACAAATATAAGTGCCATTTCTTCACGGAAATAGCACATGTATAGATAGTATATATATAAAATGTTACGTGTGTACAACTATTGATGACGTTGGGACTTTTTGTGTACAGATATTGTGTAACGTGTGTACATGTTTTGATGACGTTTAAACCTTTTGTGTACAGTTATTATGTTTACAAGATGACAATGAGGCTAGATACTTTAGATATATATGTATATGTGTGTATAGACGACTAGAAAATCAACATATCGAACATTAGATGGATGTTGAAACAAAACTGCTTTTTAGGCGCATTCCATTACTTTATTCATCTTAAACATGATACATAAACGTCGTAAAATGTTGTGCTAATATCAATTTTACATATGAAATACATTCGGTTGTGACCACACGTTGTGAATGTTGACCCAGTACTTAAATACAACATTTTTTTTCTTTACCGATGTGTGTTGACTATGAGTATGTAACGACAAATTTGAATATATACTTTTTTGTCTGGTAGAGAATGACATTAAATTTTATTATATGACGTCATGTTTTAAAATGACGCATACTTGTAATATATTACGTCGCCTAGATTTTGACGTAGGTATTTACGTCACTTTTTCATGTTCATGTGACACGTTTTTTCATATGACATCATTTTTTTTCATTATCCAGTCATTAATTTGATTATCCAGTATCATTTCTTTCATATCATGAAATAGAATATAGGTTCAGTGTATGTAATCATATTATAAGTTAATGCTATAGTTTAAAATGGTGATGTGATAATAACGTATACAATTATTAATAGTTAAATAGACATTTAATTTTTTTTTTTCAATACAAACTGTAAATATGATATGCATTAAATATTCGTATTAATTAAAGCATTGAGTTAAATGTAAAAAAAAATACGACACAGAGTGGCAAATTAAAAAATAATATTCAGATTTTTTTTTGAATACCAATTTTTGAATTTTTTGTCTTAAATTAGGTGTTAGAATCTCTCTAGTCCTTGTAAGTTTGTCTTTATAATCAAGACTACTATATCCATGATTTACCACTACCTCCCTTTTAAGCAATTGTTTATAGTTAATCGTGTCTACACTTGCCTACTTAATTGGTAACCATTAAATGTGACTGGATAACCTGCTCTAAATACACCAGTCTCGCCCCAAATCACCACTTGTCTCTTTCTTAGTCAGATTAGGGAAGTGACGTAGTATGGACTGTGACGTAATTTAGAGCTGATTATTTAGCCTACCATTAAATGTATGTTTGGTCCACAAAACCTTTTTTTGTGTGTGTGTGTTTTTGTCTCTACGCAAGCATTTTTGTTTCTGTTGATCATTTCCATAAAATAAATATCAGCAAGATTTAATTTTGTACTTGGTCACATGACATTTGTTATTCAAGACATTTTATGAAAGAAAAAAAAACGGTGAAACATAATTATCGATAGTTGAGACCTATAGATGATTAAAAATTGATGTTAATTTTCAAAACACAATCATCATTGTGCGGTTATAAGAGGAATTAATTATGACATTTAAGTCAAAGAAATCGATTTGATTAGATTCAATATTAAATATGCATCATATATGAATCAAGATTTTCTCGTTATATCCGCAGCTTGCATGTCCAAAATGGCTGAATATGAACAATATTAGCGCAGACACGAAGGGGAAATAATTTTAGGTAAATTTCCACATGAAATAATAAATAAATGATGATAGTAGTGGAGTATAAGAATAATTTACCAGTGCAACAATAGCTGGTTATAATTAATCATATAAAACTCGTCACGAGACGATCTTCTATAAACCAACAGCAGGCTTTCTGGAATGAATAATGCTTGAAATGGTTCTCATGCCTTCTCTCAATTCTCTATGAACTTTGAACTTACAAAATGTATATTTCGGTACATGTAATTTAAACAAAGTGCTAAGACGACTTTAATGCACAGAACGTGCACCAAAATAATATTCAGGCATTTTATAAATTAACTGTTTTTGCTTTAAGAATACGTAGACCTGTTTAAGAATGCGAAATGACCGAAATTTATTTCGAAGATAGCATATCACGATTTACCGTCCAATCAAGAAATCCATTGAGCGAATAACCGTCACGTGTTTTACATATCTTATTAAATAACGAACAATCAGTCAATATTCGCGAGAATTCGCGAGATTTTATTAAACATTTTAAAACAAATATACATACATATATATCCATTGCTATTGAAAAGTCAAACGAGATCAAAATTCAAACCGCACAAAAAGAGCTGTTTAATTCCAAATTAATTCTATTTTAAATTCTATCCAAAGATTACTACGCAATTGTAATTATGGCATTGGTAACTAATACTAACTTAAATACGAATTGTAAAGTTAGTCCAGTGACCTTTTTTGTTTAAATTTAAAAACTCTCCCGTCTGGAGTATGTTGTTATATTATTTTATATTTTATTTCTAGCTTGCCAATCACTTATAAAAGCTTTAATTAATTAATTAATTGTATTGTTTTGAGTTTAACGAACGCTTATTGTGAATATACGTCACATGTTTTTGTGTATATATTTGAACGACGTCATGGGTTTAAAGCTTTACGTCACAAGAGTGCACACATTACGCAATTTACCAGTAAATATTCTACGCCACATCTCCTATCATTCTCGATCATTAGACAGTCTTGGTGTATCAACTGAACGTAGTGTGTTTAAAATCCTCACCAATTGAAGATGATGGAATGAGTATGATAGAAGATGGAAGTGTATATTTTTGTTTTTGTTTACTTAATGCCGTCATGTTTATTTAGATCTGTCGTATGATTTATTTGAAGGGAGGGGAGGTTGTAGACTATAGCTTTATATTTTGTCATATGAAAAAAATAAAAAACATTGTTAAATATCATATATTGATTCCTCATTTTTTTAAGTTTTTGGACCACTAACATGCAATATAAACGAGGAGCAAAATATCATGTCATCGCATCCATCTTGGAATTGTGACGTCATGGTATGCGCAATTTGTGTCAATCGTACTTGAATTGACGAAGCCCTAGGCTTTGTTGAAGAGCATCACCCCAACAAATAGAAGATTATTATAAAATCCCCTAGTTCTTAAGTCTAGGTTGGGATGGAGTAGGGGCGTTGGATGGTTGAATGGTTAGCACGTGCACGTTGTATCATAAAGTCTGTCATTGAGTCAACTGGCGTGGTTTCGATTCCCCGGTTGTACGTGACAAGAAGTAGGATCTCCTGTCCAACCTCGTGGGTTTTCTCCGGGTCCCCCGGTTTCCTCCCACTGCTAAAGACACCTACGCGCAAGCGAATTATGGAAATAAAATTGAGCCATATGTTAGTCCCGAAATGACCTAGTTTGTGTCGAGTGGACGTTAAACCCCATTTCTCCCTCTCGCTCTCTCAAGGTTGGGATATTATAACAAAAAAATGTCGGACTAGTGGATGATGACGTATAAAACATGATGAGCGATACAGATCCGCGCCATTCAAAATGGTTGTTAATTTCTCGACTTGTACAAAACACGACAACAGGTCATATGATTTGTGTTCGCCTATTAAAAATTTACATTATTTCATCTCTTCAAAAAATGACGAGCCCTTGTTTTTTGCGCCATTGAGCTTGTCATATTGAGCAGAAATCGGATTGATAGGATATAATTTATTAACGATAACTAAGGTAATTGGTGATGTGGTCGGATAAATTGCTGTATACACCATTACTGACTCGCTGATACCAATCTCAATCGCAATATTTCATCTTTAATTCACTATGTGATAAACGTTTGGCGGCTTTCTATGATTTTCATTGCCCCCTTCTCTGCCCTTCTGCAAGTTCTCTATCAGATACAGAACGATGATTATGTATGAAGTAAAAAGTTGTAAATGGCATTGTGTACACCGCCATTTGTAGATTATACGTGGAGAGAGAGAGACAAATGGGGTTTAACGTTCATTCGACACAAAACAGGTCATTTCGGGACTAACATATGGTTCAATTTTATTTCCATAATTCGCTTGCGCGTAGGGGTCTTTAGCAGTGGGAGGACCCGGAGAAAACCCACGAGGTTGTACAGGCGACCCTACTCCTTGACACATACAACCGGGGAATCGAAACCACGTCAGTTGACTCAATGACAGACTTTATGATACAGCGCACACGTGCTAACCATTCAGCCATCCAACCCCCCCCCTTAAACGTGGAGAGAGGAGTGAAACGAAATGCGGTTTAACGTCCTACTATTTTGCTCCGACTGGGATAATGAAGTCGGGCATACGTCATACAGTGCGTTAAGAGGGAAATTTTGCCCCGACAGCGGCACTACGTCCTACTCTAATAACGCATGCCAATTGCCCCTTGATCGTTTACGTGCACTCCAATGGGATTGAACGTCTCAACTGCATTTAACCACGATCATTCTGAGACTAAGAAACGTTTCTTTTTTAAATGAAATGAAATGGGGTTTAACGTCCTACTGTTCTAGGTCCTGTTTCTCGAAATCTTAACTAAAGATAAAATCCAAATTTTAGTAGATACTTAAATTTTGATTGGCTAAGCACTAAAATCAAACTAATATTATCCAATCAAATTACTAAAATCTGTATTTTATCTTAGTTAAAGATAAACTAATGAAGACGGACGTTTCTTTTTGATTACTATGGTTATGGCATGTGTTATGACAGTGTATTTTATTTGTGTACATCGAATCGATTTCAACGATTCAGTCCTGGGATTGTACAATAGCTCGTACTAGGCTATCCAACGTCTTCGATATCTCGGGCTGTAGAGTTTGACACCCCTGGCCCCACCCTCACCCCAAATGTGAACTATCGCCAGTAGAGTAGGCCTAGTAAACAATGACTTTGTCACACACGGCCCCCACTCTCACTCCAAACGTGAACTATCGCCAGTAGAATACTATACAACGATTTGATCCTGTTATTGGCTGAGAATCGTCCACTGACAAGGAACAGTGTCTAGTCGTTGGGATGGGACGAATAACCGAGGTCCCGTTTACACGTTGACTTGCACGTGAAAGAACCCATGACGTTGGCGTGCACGTAAAAGGAAAGAACCCTTAACGACTGGAATTTGAAATCAAAAGTAGACCGTGGCGCCGCTGTTTGGGCAAAAGTTCCTTCATAGCACACACAGTGATGTATAGTCTGGTCGATGCAGAAAAGTAGAACGTTACCCCCCACCCCCCACCCACCCACCCCAATCTCAGCCCCTCCACTTTCACTCCCAAATCGCTGTAACCTGAATGAGATAGTTGGAGTTAATTTGATATCTGGATATATCGAATATGCCCGACTGTATATTACGGGTCTAGAGAGATACTGATTTGCTAGGGGATCACGTGGCTAAGTGGGTAAGACGCTGGCTCGCTAGCCTTGAGGTCGGGTGTTCGATCCCTGCATTGGCCGAGAAAGTTCATCCAGATTTTCTGGCGTGGTTTCCCCTTGTCAGTGATGCAGGACGGAGGCCCTGACAAGGACAGCTGTCTAGTCGTTTGGATGGGACGAAAAACCGAGGTCCCGTGTACATATTGGCGTGCACGTAAAAGATCTCCTGTCAGTTGGAATTCGATATAAGAGTAGGCCGTAGTGCCGCTGCCCGGGCAAAAGTTCCCTCACAGCACACTGTATGGTGTATGCCCGTCTTCATTAGCCCAGTTTAGGAGCAGAACAGTAGGACATTAAGCCCCATTTCATTTCATTTCATTTCATTTCATTTCACTGATTTGCTATGTAATAGCTGCACGTAAAGGAACCCTAGTGCAGAAAAATAGGACGTTAACCCACATTTTATTCATATACTCGATCTACCTGTATTTAATTACACGTGGAATATCTCGAATGTTTTTATTGATAAAATAAACCTTTCTATATTTAATATTTTAATAGTCTTATAGCATGTAACATTCCATTATCTCCTTAATCCGATTCTAGTTAATAAAGACTACTCGAGTCTGGATATTAGAAGCTAAAAAAAAACCGATGGATTCAAACTGTTCGACCCGGGGTAAAGGCCTTCTCCAGGATTCCTAGGGTAACGTTTAAAGGCCATCTGGATTTATCTGTCGTCAGAGCTGACCCGTTTGTTGCCAGCGCACGGGTTAGGCAAGTATAGTACCCCCCTCCCCCAATATAGCCTCAATGAAACCGGTGAAGAATGTTCGAACATTGAGAGGGTTTCTGCGAGCGTGAGAGGGAGTGGGGACTATTTCTATTGATTATCGCTACTGTATTTTCTTTCTTTTGTAATTTTGCGGCTCTCTCTCTGTCTCTCGATGAACCCAACAGTTGAAAAATATACATAACTTGATGTTTTGATGTATTTTGATATAATTATACGTTTGTTGTTTATTGCTTGCACTGTGTAGTGTCCGCATGTTTGTCTTATGTGTTCTGTTTGTGTGTAGTCCCGTCCTCTTGCATTTACGGGTAGAGGCAATGTTGCTAGATACTGGCACGATTAGTTATGACACAATTCTGGGGAATATTTATTATTACCGTTTATCACTGGGTGACGTATTCCATAGATTTATGTTACGCGATCACCCAGTTTACTTAATGTCATTAAAACATAACTGTATACGTTGATGGGGGGGTTGGATGGCCGAGTGGTTAGCACGTGCGTGCTGTATCATACGGCCTGTCATTGAGTCAACTGGCGTAGTTTCGAATCTTCGGTTGTACGTGACAAGGAGTAGGGTCGCCTGTCCAACCTCGTGGGTTTTCTCCGTGTCCTCCGGTTTCCTCCTACACGCTATAGACGACTACGCGCAAGCGAATTATTAAAATAAAATTGAACAATATGTTACTCCCGAAATGACCTAGTTTGTGTCGAGTGGACGTTAAACCCCATTCCCCCCTCCCTCTCTCTCTCTCTCTCTCTCTCTCTCTCTCTCATTATCCCGGTTGGTGCCGAAGAGTAGGCCATTGTTGTTAAACCCCATTTCATGTCATTTCGTATAGTTGGGCCTTAACTCTATTACTTATATGTAGATCTATGTGACATGTATGTATATAAGTATATATATATTGTTTAAGGCGCGGACCAGACGGTGTATTATATAAGACTTAATTTAAAACAAGTGCGTAATGATTATTAAGATCCGAATCTCTGGTTTAATTTCGTATTTAGATCTAAAATAGGTTTGAGAACGACATTATCGAAGCTCCTTGATGATGGATGGACGACTATATTCGACCAAATGTGAAGATATGACAGTAAATTTGGTGGCGTCTAGCCAACTATTGCATTGTATTTATTAAATTAAAAGATATAAAAGAAAGTTTATCAAGTCAGGCCGCGAACAGCCGGGTAATTATTGATTTTAATTCAGATGTTTTTCTACAATCTACATTATTCTCTGTTTCATTCACTAAAATTAAAGAAAATAATTTCTAGAAATCAGATCAGAGTGTTAGTTTAAAGATACATTATGGGAGATTCGATAAAGAGCTGGCAGTTCTCACTATAATAGTTTAAAACTAGATAATGTAAAGGCAATTTGCTGACAATTTCATTCAAATTGATCCACTATGAACCGAGAACAAAGTGGTTGAAATTTCCGCCTAGCCTCGATCATCATTACTAAAGCCAGTACGACAAACCGCATAGTCTTTATTATCCATTTAATCTTTAGATCGTGAAGGAAAGTTATGCAGTAAATCGGCTCATAATCTATTAAAGATCGCAGGCTAGCGATGCCATCTTCAGTTGATTATGGTCTGGATAATGTCTTATTAATATTTTAGATAACATTTCAGGTCTAAAGAAAGGCCTGCAATAGACAGATTTAGCTCTTGCATAATGTATGTTTAAATAATATTTCTTTTTTTCTAGAACAAGAGCGAAGTGGTTCAACTTATTTGGTGGTC